ATATCTCAAAATCTAAAACCGAAAAAATTTTTTTGACTACGTCATCCAATTCTCTATAAAAAAGTGTCCATATAATGTCTTAGTTATAATACTCCACCTATAATAATAACGAAGATAATTGCACTTGCTGGTTTTACGATATTTCCAATTTTGGCCTCTAGGGGAAAAACAAAAGACGATAGCGCTATGAGGTTTTCGGCATTAGCAGTTTCTCGAAAAACGAGATCATGACATGTAAGCTACTTTTTTTCTAACTCTTATAGTTTCCGAGTTAGCCTATTCGGACATCGAATTTGAACCACCCTGTACACTCTACCCTTCCTAAAACCTGTCTGTCCATCCGGAAACATCTCAATCTTTTCCTCCAATCTTCCCAGCAGTATCTTCGCATAAATCTGGTATGAGGAGTTGAGTAGGCTGATTCCATTCTAATTAACCACTACTCTCTTACTTCCCTTCTTGTGCACTGGGCATATTATACCCATCCTCCAACTGTTCCTTCACACACTGTTCAACGTCTCTAACAGCTTCCCTCTCACCTCTCCTACCGCCTCCAACCATGCCTCGTTCTGTATCTCATCCTCAACCCCCTCAAAACTGTTATCAACTCTTCTTCCATAATCTCCTCACCACCCTTAGTCGTCTCCTCCTCCTCGACCGCTTCCAAGTGACTCCTCCATCTGTATTTCGCTACCGACCTCCTCCTTTCGCTTTCTCAACTTCTTCAAATACCTCCACACATCTCCTTCCCATCTTATCTCCTTAATTTTTGCTGCCTCCCTCAACCTCAGCTCCCTTTTCTTTGTCCCACTTACATCTTTGTGTCTTCTTCTTGTCTCCTTATAACTGTTCACCAGAACCTCTCCTCTCCGCCACTGCTTCAATCTTCTCCTTGTCTCCTTTTCGCCTCCCTGCATTCTCCATCCCATCATGTAAGTAATTTTTTTTTAATTAATTTTTAGTGCGCATCACAAGCTTGGTATTTAGCGGTTGATACTCAAATGTATTTCTTAGCACCCATTTTATTGATACCTTTGGTGAAATGGCCGAGAAAAACTATTTTTGCAACGATCGTTTTGATCGTTGCTTCGATTATTTGGGCTTTTTGTGTTAGTTGGAATAAAGATCTCGATTTAATGTATTATAAGTATGTATTAATTAATTATCTAGAGTGATTTTTAATTTTAATACATTTTTTTTTAGTTATTCGTTAGATTTTTATAGTTTTTACATCTCAACTCATTTCCGAGCTTCATCTTGGCTGATCGGATTAATTTTAGGGTATTTTTTATTTACAATTAGAAACAAAAAGTTATTAATTAATAAAAAATTAATAATCTTGTTGTGGATTATCTCAATTTGTGTTATATTAGCCGTTGTTTTCGGGCACTTCTCTTTTATTGCGATTAATCAACACAGTCGAATCAGATCAAGTATTTTTAACGCTTTCTCAAGACCCGCTTGGTGCTTAGCGATTTGTTGGATCATTTTTGCTTGTTCCAAAGGATTTGGAGGTATTTTTTAAATTGATTTTTACATTTGTTGACTCAAAAAATTTTAGGGGTTATCAACAGATTTTTATCGCTGAAATTTTTCGAAATTGGAGTCAAAATAAGTTATGGGATGTATTTGTTGCATGTATTTGAAATTTTATACACAGTGGGAATGGGTAGAGTTGCAAAATATTTTTCAAACGAAGAGGAATTAAAGATAATTTGGTCCGATTATGTGACGGTTATGTTTTTTGGGCTAATTTGGGTTTTAATTTTTGAATTACCCCCAATTCGCTTGGAGAAACTCTTGTTTAATTACAAACAAAAAAATAAAAATGTTTTAAATGGAATTGTTTTAAATAAATAAATTAAATATAAATGAATAGGCAACCAATACTGCATAAGCTAAATTTACGTCATTTTTATTTTGGTTAATTAATTTTAAATCAGACATTAAATTAATTAAAGAATTAATTGGGATTGCTTTAAATAAATAAATTAAAAGTTTTTATAATACTGCCCTTTATTTTTTCTTTTTTTCCTATATAAAAGTAGATAACCAACATAGCAACTTTGTTATCTGGGTTGCTTTGTTGGGTTTTAAAAAATTAATTAATGTCATTATTATTATCACAATAATTATAAATTAGAATTAATTTTAATTCAGTTCTCACACGTGTATTGCGCAAAATTAAAACAAACCAGAAGAATCATCCTGATAAGATAAAGCAACTCATCGTTTAAACAATCATGATTGTTTCATTTTTTACAAGTTCATGGCAGTTTCATCGCCGTTGTTTAATTCCCCGCTATCAAATTCTATGGCCAACCGATTTCTATCAATACAAGTTCCATCATCAGCCATCCGACACGCCTCCAAAACGTATTTATTAAAAACTTCCGCTTTATCAGCATAAACATGATGTCCGGCACCGGGGATAACAAAGCTTTGTACAAAACAATCCGGTCGTTTCTCTTTAACGATTTCAGCCGCGGTGTTATCAACCCAAGATCTTGACCCATAAAGCAACGTAATTGGAACTTTAGGACTTAATTTATCGATGCGATTAATCATCGGTTGTTTGGCCCATCCAAACCCGGCCATCATCGCGTGAAACGCGCTTTCTCCAGTTGGTGGTTGCGCATTACATTGATAAACATATTGCGAAATTAAATTTTCGTCGCCAACAAAATGTTGGAATTTCTTCGAAATATCCGGCCTCGCTTTATTAATTAACCATTGTCCTAAAGGACCAGCTACTCTTACCGCGAATAACGGATTAAAAGGTTGAAAACTGTAGGAAAGAACTCGAACCCATAAAGGTAAGTTGGGTTTCTCCGCTGGTTTTTCTGGAAATCCCCATGGATCGGCCAAAATTAAATGGGCAACCCGTTCCGGGTGACAAATCGCGTAAGAAGCGGCCAAAAACCCACCCAAACTATGTCCCAAAAGAACGAAATGGTCTAAATTCATCTCTCTTCTCCATGCTTCTAACGCGTCAACCATTTGAGTTTCAGCTTCGGCTGCTTCTTTGCTGAAAGCGGGGCGAGAACTTCGCCCAAAACCCAAAAGGTCCATTGCGTAAACTGGACGTTCCATTGCGAGAGAATCCAAGTTTAAGCACCAAAACGCAACACCCGCGCCTAAACCGTGTAAGAGAACAATCGGAGTATTTTTATTTGGTGTGTTCATTGAGATTGTCCAAATTTTATCGGAATGTCCAACAACGGGGCCAATATCCGTGTACCATCCCCGATATGGCGTTTTTACATACGAAAGAATCTTCTTTTCGGCGGTTCGTAATAAATTTTCGGAGAATTTGTTCCAAGAAAGCCATTGCGAACTCATCCAACCGACTTGCTGCTGTTGTTGCGGTGATCGGTCATCGATTTCCGCAATAGCTTTGTTATTATCAGAAATATCCGACATTTTTCTTTGGAAATTTTTAACTAAATATCACTTGTAAGATGTTTTGGATGACTTTTATTGTTTTGAATCCGTTTTTGTTTTACTTTCACATCGTCATTATCACTTTTTTTTTGATTAATTTTTTTTTGGTTGCGTTTTATTACTTGGTAAATTTTGAAGGCAGTTAACTGTCAAAAAAACGACCGCACCTTGTCGAATCGCTAACTGCTCTAAACGTTATCGAGATTCCTGAAATCATTTGCTGCTCTCGATGATAACGACTCAATTCAATTCGAATTCTTTTTTTAGATATGCGTATTAGAAAACGAAACGCTTTGTTAATGAATAGATTAGAGTCCAACTCTTTGTTTATAAACGTCACAATTCACCATTGACATAAGTATTAATAAAAAAAAGCGGATTTTTATTATTTTAAGGAAGCGAGTAGGAAAATTATTGTGTCGATAAGACTTGATATGAATTGAATTGGTAACCGTACTATTCAGAGGGAAATCAAAAATATTCGTATACAGCTTCCCATGTAGGAAATTCGAAAAAATTTTATTAACAAAAATTATTACAAATTTAATTCTAAACAAATTTTATTTAAACAATTTTTTGATAAAATCAATAATTATTGAGATAACTTCAAAAAAGGTTCCTTTTATACCAGTGTACAGCGCACCCTAGTGGAAATATTAAAAAATGTTTATTACAAAATAAGTTTTAAATAATATTTTAAACAAATATTATTAGAAACAATTTTTGATAAATGCAATAAATATCATGATAAGTCCTGATATAAATTGAATTGGTAACCGTACTATTCAGAGGGAAATCAAAAATAATCGTATACAGCTTTCCCCATAGGAAATTCGAAAATATTTTATTAACAAAAATTATTACAAATTTAATTCTAAACAAATTTTATTTGAACAATTTTTTGATACAATCAATAATTATTGAGATAACCTCAAAAATGTTTCTTTTTATACCAGTGTACAGCGTACCCTAGTGGAAATATTAAAAAATGTTTATTACAAAATAAGTTTTAAATAATATTTTAAACAAATATTATTAGAAACAATTTTCGATAAAAATAATAAATACGATGATAAGCCCTGATATAAATTGAATTGCTAACGCAATGTTATGTCAACTTTAACAATTTTTTTCTCCAAAAGTAATCGAGATATCAAAAAGCTGTTTGCAGGATTAAAATCGTCATTTAATTATGTATAATTCCACCAAGTTACGTTTTTTCAATTTTATAACTAACCTAGATATAAATTTTTGAATCCAACCTTAACAAAAATTTCCTGAGATTTTTTTAATGTCAACTTTAAGAATATTTTTCTCCAAAAGTAATAGAGACATCAAAGAACGGTTTTCAGAAATAAAATCGTCATTCAATTGTGTATAATCCCATCAAGTTACGTTTCTTCAATTTTACACATAACCAAGATATTAATTTTTGAACCCACTCACACATATTTTACAAGATAGTGCCAATAAAAAAAATAAATAAAAACTCACACATTTTACAACACTTCTATTATGAATTACTTAAATAGCGTTAACGTAATCGACGATTTTTTTTTATTTTTTTGAAGATAAACGATGATAACAGTGTAAATTCAAACTTTTCCTATCAAAGTTTATTTTTAAATCTTTAGGATCAAAGGTACAATAAAACTTTATAATAACATGATTTTAATAACTTTATTTTTTCTTAATATAATCAATTTTATTTTACTCCTAAATTAAAACGATTCTCTTCAAACCGACGATAATATTTCAAAATTATTTTAATTGCAATTACACATGTCAACGTAAGTTTTCCTAAATAAATAAAATCCTTTACAAATAATTAATTCCTGCATAAAATCTTTCGTTAAATACAGTATAAACATACAAAATAATCTCATATTTAATAACGCCACCTTTTTATCGCTTTAATTCAACCACCAGAACAATAATTAAAACAATCAGGATAACAGTACCAATTAAAGCTAAATAAAAAAGTTTCTTTCTGTAACGATTCCCATATCTAGCTGCTTTTTGGAGTTCTTCAGTTGCTTGAGTTACCGTTCCGGCTGTATAATCAATATTATTTTCAATTGAATCTAAAAAAAATACAAATAATTCTTGTTATTACCAATTTATTAAATTTTTTACCAATAACTTCACGATCTTGATATACAAGAACACTTAATTCCCTCATTATTTCATTCACATCCAAAACATCAGCTTCGATTTTTTTAATTGCAACCTCTCTATCCATTAACATGTCATTTTCAAAAGCTAACTCCCTGGCTAATAATATTTGTTGTTGGGCTTGAGGATCATCTTTATCCATTTCCTCTAACTCAACGGGCGACATTAACAAATTCGCTTTCATCTTATCAGCGCACGTTTTTTGTAGAGATGAATAATTAGCAACGGCATCTTTAAAATTATCGGTGAGCTTTTCACATTGTAATTTTTGTTGCTTTTCCCCTTTTTTTACTACTCTACTTAATTTTTGTAACGAAGTTGTTGTTGCGGAGATAATTTGATTGGTACTTAATTGTGTTACATGGCTAAAAAATGCAAAAATAATTATTTTCGAAATATAAAGTTACCTACTTTACCGACATTGTGCGTGTGGTTGCATACATTTAAACAAATTATAATAATGTTTTTAATTATTTACATTTTATCTCTGAGGCCTCGATTATCCTTTGAAGTACCAACGTTCTTTGTTAAATTATCTAAACTTTTCCAAGAGGAATTGATGGTATAAATGTTAGTAACAATGCTGTCACACAACGTGTTAAAATCCGAAGTGGATGTTCCAGAAAAAGCCACTTCCGTCGTATTTTCCATGGCCCCATAACTAGGCGCTGGTTTCCTATTCATCTTGAATTTCAACCCACTTAATTTCTTCTTAATTAACCCAAAAACCTTGACTTACACCGACATAACCTTTCAAACACTTCCTTTTTGTAATCTTTTTAAGCACATCACCACCAATACTATTAGAATTAGGAATAATAGAACTGTATCGAATTACATTATTATCTCCCCTTTTTGTTTGTTTTAATAATAAAATAGATGTGTGGAATTCAACAGCAAACACAACTGACGTTTTAATGCAGATAAAAAGTTGATTTTAGGAAACCGAAATCACGTGATTTTATTTATAATCACGTTGAGTTTTAAACCGATTATGAGTAAACAAGCTTAGTAATAAATTGTTGAAACATTAATTTTATTAAATGAGGTCATGTTTTAACAATAATGGTGAATTGATTTTGTACGTATACGACCAATTATATTGTGTCGTATTGACTCTTTTAATTTAATTGTTTTCGATAATTATTCATAAATAAACGTAAATAATTGTTTAAACAAATTAAAAAATATAATGTTGAAGTTGATTTGACTAATACATATAAATAACATCTATGACAGCACAGCTGTCATTTTTGACATTCACTTTTTAAGGTTATCCAATTGACGAACAAATTGACATTGACGGGGTGAGGTAGGAAACGTGATTGGAGGAAAAATATACATATAATATTAATATAATAATAATATTTGTATTAATAATTATTTAAACACTAAACAAGTGTTATTAAACTTAAGAAATAAAGAGTTTATGTTTGTTTTCGTATACCGAGAATTTCATGTAACCCGCAATCTGTATACAGGTGTATCTGAATGACGTTCCCAAACTTCAAAGAGTGATTCTTTAGCAATTTAAGGGTACTTTCTTATATGAACTATGAGCAACTTCGACTCCCCTAGGGAGCTATACCCCTTCAAAAATGGAGGAAAATTTTGGTTTAATTTTTTTTTCTCGAAAACCATAAACACCACAAAAATGAAATTTGAGAAATAAGTTCAGCTCATAATATAGCACGTTTCTAGAATGTAGTAACCATAGTTACGAAACTACTATGTACTTGCACTGTCCGACATAAAATGCAACATAGCTTTATAGTACAGGCTTGGATAGTATTGCAAAGGAAAAGTTTTGCTTGGAAAAGGTGACATCCTTATGATAACTCTGAGTTTCCGTCTTAGGAGACGCATATAGTTCTAGGTCTAGTGTTAGTTCTAGTTTTACACTAACACTATAGAACTAGAATCATTTGAGTTAAGCTGCACGTCTCTAAAGACGGCTAAACCAGAATGATTTTAGTTCTAGGTATAATGTTAGTTCTAGTTTTACACTAGCACTGTTACTATGTAGAACTAACACTATACATAGAACTAGAATCATTTGGGTTTAGCAGCACATCTCTAAAGATGGCTAAACCCGAATGATTCTAGGTCTAGTGCTAGTTCTAGCTTTGGTGCAATAAAAATATGCAATATAGTAATATTTTACGCTAACTAGCGCTATCTATCGGTTAAACGGTATGTCTCTAGTTCTACTTTTCTAATGCTAGTGTCTACAGTGTGTTATAGTATATTGTGTCTCAAGGGCAGAAAATAAGCATTAGCAGCCCGAGGCTGATAGATAAGGGCTGCTAATGCATTTCTGCACGTGTGACACACAACTATTTTTCGCCACCCATTAAACCAAACAAAATTGCAAAAATATAAAACAAAACTAATTTTATAATTTTGTCGCAGTTTTGATTTCAACTGACGTTTAATGAAAAATTATGAGAAACGTCAAAAATGTCCGCAAATGTCAATGAAGACTAGCTAGATTGTGATGAAAAACTATAAAGATTCAGAGTTTAGAATCCCAAGGGCCGAAAATCTAGCTTTCAGTTATTTTTTTAGGGCTGATATGATTTATTTTCAGGTATGGGAGGCGAAAAATTCATTATCGTACCCGATGTTATCATTGCATGTATGCAACCAATAGTGCAAATCGTGTATTGCAATACCAATATTGTGATATTGGTTGCATACTTTCAATGATGACGTCGGATACGATAATTAGATAACACACTGTAGGTTTATTGTTATTCAGCGCTAAATTGTTGTATATTTTTATTGAGCTATAACGGACACTGCGTTCCTCGTATTGATCCTTTATATCGAGGTTTTACTGTAATGTTAAATAAACGCTCTGGTAAATATATATTGTGTCATATTAAACGTATAAATCTTTTAATTTATTGTTTTTGATGATTAATAATAAATAAACGTAAATAGTTGTTTAAACAAATTAAAAAATATATGTTGAAGTTGATTTGACAAACTTGATTTGATTAATATCTATGACAGCTGTCATTTTTGACATTCGCTTTTTGGTTAGAATTCTTATTTAATTATAAATAATTTAATAACAATAAATAAATCATGTTAAATCATTTTATTCGAAATTAAATAATATCGGAAAAACGATAGATTATTACAATTAATGACATATATGACAATACGTGTGAAAAGCGATTATTTTTTTTTTTAATTTAATTATAAAGCAAAGTTAAGTATGAATCCTAAATTCATTGTGATTCCTGTGCAGAACGAACATCATCAATCTTAAGAATCATTTTAACCAATTGAGTAGCAAGCTTAATTTGTTGCCTCTTCGATTTAAGAGATTCTATAACGTGTTGATCTCTCATATTAACATTCCCAGTTTGCATGCAATCAATTCCCAAAGCAGAATCGCCGGTTCCCGCTTGTTTAGCTTTAACTTCGGCTAAAGCGTGAATAGCGCTTAATCCGCTATTTTCGGCTAACGCCAAAGGAATGCTTTCTAAAGCTTCGGCGAATGCTCGAAAAGCGTATTGTTCTAACGAAGCTAACAAGTCAGCTTGAGCCGCTACGTATAAACTACAAGCAATTTCAGAGGCTCCTCCTCCATAGACAATACGAGGTTCTTGGATGAGACTTCTAATAACGCATAAAGCATCGTGTAAGCTTCTTTTAGCTTCAGCGACTAACATTGCGTTACCACCGCGTACTAAAATAGTAACGGCACGCGAATTCGAACATTCTTCGATAACCAACATTTTATCTTTGGTTGTACCGAAAGATAATTCACGAACAAGACCGGCTTTTCCTAATTTATCCGGTGTAAGTTCTTCAAAACGAGGTACGATTCGTCCACCGGTTGCAATAGCGATTAATTCAATCTCAGGACCTCCAACCCATCGAACCGCCGGTAACTTTTGTTGTAACAACAAATGATTAGCTTCATCGTCGAAACCCCATTGGCAAATAGCCAAAGTTGTCCCTGCATTTTTAACTTGAGTAACCATTTCATTAAATTTCTCTTGTTCATATTTCCTTAACTCCTTATAATCTTCAGTGCTAGTTACATCTAACTTATGTTTAGTTTTTGGTTTTGGTGGTTCAAAGGGACAAGTTAAAATTGCGATTTTAACATCTTTTAATTCTTTAGGCATTTGGGGGTGACTCATTGTTTTATCGATCACAACCCCTTTAACCAAAACAGTGTCTTCTAATCGACCCCCAACTTTTCCCTCAACTTTAATCAGTTCAAAGTTAACATCCCTTGTTTCTAAATTAGCAACTTGTAGTACGGCTTTAACAGCAATTTCAGCCATTTGGCGATGACATTTGTTAATGATTTTTGATCCCAACGTGGTCATAGCTACTTTTATGAGAGGTTCAAGGTTATCTTCAGCTACCGGAAAGAGTTCAGCAATTTTATCTAGGTGCTCCACAGCTTTTTGAGCTGCTAATTCAAAACCATCCGCTATTCTTATTGGGTGAATACCACGATCTAATAAAGCCCCAGCTTGCTCTAAAAGGGCTCCAGCTAAGACCACAACGCCAGTTGTTCCATCACCGATTTCGTCATCTTGCGATTGGGACAATTGAACGAGTAATTTACCAACTTCGTGTTCGACATCCATCATTTTTAAAATGGTGGCACCGTCGTTGGTTACAGTTACATCACCGTCAGGTGACACCATCATTTTGTCTAATCCTTTGGGGCCCAATGACGTTTTGATGGTGCCTGCGATTTGTTTTGCGGCCATAATATGGGACTAAAATGGATTTTTTCATATTAATTGAGTTGTTATAGAGAAAATTAAGGTTTTTTTGAACATGTGTGAAATTATTGTGGGTGTTTACAAATTGGACATAACCTCACCTTGAGGGCATCGGCTCCTGTCAAACGTTTTTGCTTGTCTTGGTCCCTAATGATTATAAAAGGTCTACCGTATTCATCAAAGGCGATACTTCCTGGGAGGGAAGCCATGATTCGTTTTTGAATTTAACTTTTAGTTCTTTGGATGATTTTAGATGTATTTCGGTCGTTCTAGAAAAACTACACCCGTTATGCCGGTCAATGGTAGCGACATCTATTTTGACTTTTGACAAATAAGTGTTGTCATGTGATTTTTTTTAATATTTATTTATTATTTATAAAAAAACAATTTTTATTTAAAAGTCGTTTGTTTTAATTTAATATTAAACATTTATGTTTATAAATTTCTACTTTCTAACGACTTTTTTTTCGATCGAAATTGTAATTATTGCAGATTTCTGTAATAGATAAATAAAGACAATAAAAACACACCAATAATTTTATAAATTAATTATTTATTTCTATATATTAATTTAATGTTTACATCAAAAATCACATTTATTTAATAAATTAATCCAAAATAATTACTACCTTCACATTATACCCCTCTTTATAACCTGTCAAAATAACCATACGTTTTTTGAGATTTTTCTTTTCAATTTCTCTATAATAACCGATAAACCATAACTTTACAACAATGGCAGAAGCTATGAAACAAGTCGTAGCAGATATGCTAAAAGGAATTGAAAGGTACACACAATTTATTTAAAAAACGAAATAAACATAACCTCACTTTTTTAGATACAACCCGAATAATCTCCCTACGTTAGAGCGTTACGTTGAAATTCAATCCAGAGAGAATGCTTACGATTTAGAAGCAAATTTGGCGGTGTTAAAACTGTATCAATTAAATCCGCACAAATTCAACATGGATATAACAAGCCAAATCTTATTAAAGGCTTTAACGAATCTGCCACACACCGATTTTATTCTGTGTAAATGCTTGTTGAGTGAACGTAAATTGGTTGTGGAACCTATAAATCAAATTACTTATTTGGCTGATATCCTGGAACAATGCGATTTTCAAATCTTTTGGACGAGGGTTCATTCGATGCCGGAATTAACGCAAAGAATAACGGGATTTTTGGATTCGATAAGAAAGTTTGTTTGCCATGTTGTTGGAATTACCTATCAAAGTATTGAAAAGAGGCATTTGGCTCAACTTTTGGGCGGAGTTGATGATATCACTTTGAAACATTGGGTTAAGAAGTACGGATGGAAAGAAGAGGGTAATTTGATATTCATTTCCAATCAAGATGAAAACATCAAGACGAAAAATATTAACGAAAAGATCGATTTTGAAAGTGTTGGAGCTATTATGGCTGCAAGCCGTTAATAACTTTTTAAATTTAATTTCTTAATAAAAAGATCAAGTAATTTTTTTTTGGTTTTATTTAAGTTGGACGCATTGTTAGCTACATTCACAGTTATTTATATTGTGATTAACCTTAAAATGTCTTATGTTTATAAAGAAACTTTTGTAAGAAACTCAAATAAGTATCTTCCTGGTTTTCTTACTATTTTTATTCAAGATCTTTTGTGTTGTAACAAAACTGATTCAAAAGTCTTTTATTTGAGTTTTAAAGGTATTCCTTTCAAAGTGGTTAGAATTCGTGGCACAATAACGGAAGTGATGAAACACCCAAATAAATGGAAATTGGTGGTAGATGATGGCACAGCATGTATTACTTGCTATTATATGATTACAAAATCGATGATTTTGAATCAAAAGAAAATTGTTGATTTAAAAAATAAGTTGGAAAATAAAAATAAAAGTGTTTTAAATGCTGCTTCATTGTTGTTGGTGAATTCTTCGTTAGATGTAATGGATACTGTATCACGAATATATAAATTGGGAGAAACCGTTGAAATTATTGGAAATGTTCGGGATTACAATGAAAGACTTATTTTTGTAGAAAAAATTACAATACACGAATATAACGATGTAAATGAGGAAAACGAATATTTTCTTCGAATTTATAATTTATTTTATAAAAAATAATCATTAATTTTAGTTTAAATTAAATTTAATTTCGTTTCTGAGCTAACTTCATTCATATTGTTAAAACATTTAATATGGCGGATAGTGTTTTTATATCCGAGAGGTTATCCACAAAATCAGTGTTCAACATCACAAAATCAACGACTAAATCGAAGCGGAGTCGTAACAGGTATTTAAGAAGAAAACGTAGTCGGCGTCATTACCGAAAAACCGTACGAGAAGCGAGAATCCGAAAAAACTCGAGTTGCAATAACCTATTAACGGAAGTGTCAGTTTACGATTTTACCAACATGGCCGGAGAACAATACCCGGATCTACCAAAAGAGGTCTCTGATTGGCAGTATTATCACCAATTGGCGTATTGGAAATCGCGCGCGATTAGTTTAGAATTTGAAAATAAAATGTTGCACGCTCACTTAAAGAAAATGTGTACTAAGGATGTTGAAGATTACGTCGAGTACGTTCAAGGAGGTTTAACTGAATCGAATGTGGAACAAAATCGAAGTGAAATCGAGGACGCGAATTTGTACGGAGTGGCTAATTCTAAGATTAAAGCTATGGAAATGGCGATGGATGTTAATTTTAAGATGCAAGTTGATAATAAAAAACCTGTTTTGTGGCCGAATATTCCATTAAATTTATAAGTTAATTATATATATTTTTTTAACTAATTATAATTATGACTTTTGAGTGTGTTTATTTCATTTAAATGTATTAATATAACTAAAACTAGAACTAACACTAGACCTAGAACTAGAAACATATGGGTTTAGACGTCTTAAGAGACGCACTGCTAATAATATATTACAATCTAAACCAAAACAATCAACTATTCCTATTTTTTGAATTCTTTGAAGTATATGGACAACATCCGATTTATTTATTTTAACTTATTTTCTCCTTATCAAGTATCCTCGAGATGTTTCTTGGGGATTAGAACCATTTTGATACACCCCAACCCAATTAAGCAATAATTCCCATTATCTGATTTCTTTAGTGTTTATGGACAACATCTCATTTAATTATTTTAACTTATTTTTTCTTTCTCTAGTATCTACGAGATGTATATAACTATCTAATGCATTAAAAGACATGGCATCCGTGTACATGCTCTTGCGTTTGGTTATTCATCATTTCTTCTCTGCTAATCGATGGTGTATCAATTATCATTTCTTATGTTTGTGCCTCTTTTTTTTTTTTCTTGTCGTCATATTTCTTCCATAGTTATAATCACCATTAATGTTTTGAAAGCGTGTCTAAATGTAACCCAACTGATTCCTAGTGTGTCTAAATGTCCCCAACTGCATCCAAGTATGTCTAAATGTCCCCAACTGCTTCCAAATGTGTCTAAATGTGCCCAACTGATTACAAGTGCTCCGAACTCATTCTGACGATTTGGACGTGTTATGTAATTTTGCTCAAATTGCTTTTGGACTAAACGTAAACGCTATAAAATCATAACCGTTCAACCTACCGCCTTGTGGGTCGTCTTACAAAGCGCGTAACGATGAACTCTGTTTAAAAATTAAACGTATTGAACCCAAACAATTTTATGCAAATAATATTAATATGTTAAGTGCTTTAACTCATACGTAATGGATTTGTTTTATCTTACGATAACAGTTTGGGAATCGCTGACTTGAACACTAAAAGTCACCAACCTAAATTCAATATTAGTACCATTTCTAAAAAGATTTCTTAACTTTGACCAGCCGCTTAAAAGTTATTTTTTCGAAAATGCATTTTTCTGGTAAGTATATTTGCTCGACTTAAGGTTGTTTGCGTTAGAAATTCAATACAACAATCGTTGCGCCCCGTTTTCTTTCTTCGTACCTGACTCTTTTTGGTCGCGTTCGTCGTCGGAGAGAGCGCGGGGTGAAATCGGGGGGCGGCAGGTAGTCCCAAGAGAAGAAGGAGACTCCGCTCTAGCATGAAATTAATTGTGGCTCGTTTGGGCGACACCTGATGGCCCCATAACGCGGCCGGTTAACTCCCCAAAGTTAAGTAAATGTCGCTTGTCAGTGGAACCATTTTTTTCAACGATATCGCAGAAACGATTCTTTTCTGATCAAGTCACTAAGTTCTTCTAAAAACATTATCTTTCTAGTTATAGGGTATACACAGAAAAATCGGATTAGCTATTAGCCGAGGAGGTGAGCCCACGTTTACTACTAATGAAGGAACTAATCAATTACGAGATGTCGTTAAGTGTGCAACTTTAAGAGTTAGAGGGGGGGGGTTAAAGAAATAAACCTGGAGGCGTCTCACGCACCGCGCGGATTTCGGTGCGATTCTTGAGCTGCCGCTTCTTCTTCTTCTTCGTTCTCCTTCGCCTTGTCGTTCTTTGTTTTTCGCCCGCGCCTTTTTGCGTCCTCAACGCTCTTCTAACCGATTCTCTATGGTTTCCCTGTCTTGTGCCGTAATGGTAATAATAGTACGCGGTTTCGCCGAGACGTTTTTCTCAACATTTTTTTTCCTTTTTCGACGGGATCCATTGTTTTGGAGTCGCGGTGATGATAAACGATTACCATTTTAAACTGCGGCCGCGAAAACAAAAGAATTAGACGGCGAAGGTGGGGTAGATTGAAAACGCTGCGACTTTGTCGGTGAAAAATGTTAGATCTAAAGTTAATCTTAAATGAATAAATTTTTTTGGTAACGGCTTTAGCTTAGTTAATAGATGGGGATGAGTGTGTGCTCTCTCACATTGTTGGTACTTATTTCTTAGGTTGGGTTGTGTTGGGTACGAATCTGCGAAGTTAATTTATTTTACGACACCATTAAATTTCGGTTCGCGGTAAAACCCACGGCTTAAATCAGTTGATAATTGCGTTTTTCTGTGCGGCCTGGGATTGGCTCCTCGGCTACGCTTGGCCTAAGCTCGCCGTTTAGCGCATGATGGGCAATAACGGCTACCATAACGAGTTAGCGTTTGGACGAGAAAAAGAAACGAAGATGGTCTTTTGAAGAAGAAGAAGAAGCATCTTCGGGTTTCTTCGACGAATTCTATTCTGATCTTTTCGAAACTTACTTTAACAATAAGATAATTGAAAGCTTTTTGTTTTCTTGTTTAAATTACGTTCCATAAAAAACATTTAAACTTTATTTCAATTTCCTATTTGAGTTTTTCTTGTTGTTTTGTTCCAACAAGATTTTGATTTCCAATTAATTTTTCTCATCCACTTCTTCATTTAAAATCCATCGAAATTCCTATCATCCAGTCAATTACACTCAAGTAATCGTTTTCGCTACATTGCTGCTTTATGGACAAGTACTCAATGTAATTATCATTTTTATATTAACGGTTACAAAACTTAATGTCGTTTTATAAGTGTTATGGCGATATTGATGATTAAGCGATAGAAATAATATAGCTATTTTGTCAGGTGTTAACAAATTTATTTAATTTAATTGAATATACAGTAAAACCTCGATGTTACGGACCTCATTAAACTTTTTAGTGTTAGTTCTAGTTTTAAAAATGATGATACTTAAATAGAAACTGTTTCAAAGCTCATAGGAAATAGAAAAAGCTCTGTGGTATGTGTCAAAATGCTTCTATTTGATAGGAAACGTCTTGGGGATACTTGACAAAGAGGCAATAAGTTTAAAAAATGAAATTGGATGTTGTCCATAAACTCCAAAAAATTCTGAAAATGGGAATAATTGATTACTTTGGTTCAAAATGATTCTAAATGGTTAAAAATATCTCAGTAATACTTAACAAGGTTTAAATTAAAAAAAATACTTGTGTGGCTTTTGAAAGTGTTTTAATGTGGCAAAATGTAGAGAAAAGTTGTTGGTGTGTGTCACAATAGTTCTAATCGACAAAAAACATTTCAAGGATACTTAATAGTGAGAAAATAAGTAAAAATAATTAAATGGATTGTTGTTCATAAACTAGAAAGAATACAAAAAATGGAACTAATTGATTATTTTGGTTACTAAACGTAAAATCTAGAAAGTTCTATAACTATAACTAATACCATACCTAGAACTGGAAACATTTGGGTTCAGCCGTCTTGAAAAACGTCTGGCTAAACCCAAATGTTCCTAGTTCTAAAACTTACTTTTAAAACTAAAACTGGAACTAACACTAGAACTAGAACTACAAATGTTTGCGCCGTGCGTCTTCAGACGTGGTTCCTTAACCCTTTGTGTCCCAAGAAGTCAAACATTTTGAAACTTTGTGACAGAATCAGACAGAATTAAAACGCTATCAAAATACACTCAGTAAAGGCCTTTGGAATAAAATTTTAGCAAAATATGCAATCCCCCTATTTTCGCATAGTCTAAGTGTCAAAAAAGATGCTAATTCAAAAATTCCTGGAAACCGTGTTTATTGAAATTAAGAAATAAA